TTAAGAAATTAATTGTGAATTGTATAAAATCCTTAAAACTTAGAAAACTCTGCACCTGGACATACCCCCATTCATATTCCATCAATTCCTGTAATATTCCATCAATTCTGATAACATTCCGTCCATTCCAATAATATTCCATCAATTCCATCCTCGCAGGCCTCGGAAACACAAAGTTAACCGAGCAGCAATCCTCGCAGGTCTTGGAGACACCAAGTCAACTCGAGCCGTAATCTTCGCAGGCATCGGAGACACCAAGTCAACCCTAGTCACAATTCTCACACCACACGGTTCAGGTGTCCCCGAACTCGTGGGGCATTATCAAAAATAACAAAACTGTTTCAAGGAAACTGAGGGGGTACTCCTGTGGTGGGTTTGAAAACCATATCCAAAACTTATCATAGATTTCCCCCTTATTCCACACATCTGTATATCAAATCTTTCCTCAGCTTTTCACAACTAATCATAATATAATATATATCCCTTGAGAGCAAAAACAATTATATAATAACTCAAATGCATTAAATCATCCAATACCACTCGGTCAAGTACTCTTTTAACAATAATCACAATAACATTAATAAATAAATAAAAAGCAATATAACCTTCGAGTCTTAATATACCACTCAGGAAAACAACAAAATCTTATAACATAAACACATGATCCATACATAATCAAAATAGTTCACAGACAGTCATTCTAGCACTACTTGAAGGGCAATACTATCTCGGAAGACTCATAGTCAACCGAGAGTCAAACTTCCTAAATTGGGTCAACAGGGTCCACGAGGCCCACAACCTTCGATTTTTGGTCCATGAGTTCCTATGAGTTCAACAAGGTTTATTATATTTGCCTTGCAAGTTTGGTCGGAATCGAACGGTAGGATTGCTCACGATCGCACGATCGGACGGTTATTGCGAAACCCAAACTTTAAGTCATTGAATCAGAACATTCGGGGCTCCGATTCTCGATCCACAAAATCCTACACGATCCTAGAAGTGCCTAGATCAACATATCTTAATTTGGACCCTATCCAACGGTCCGAGCATATCGAGAGGGAGAGAGAGAGATTCTGTTTTAAAAAAATCCAATTTGGCAAAATTATGATTCTGCCCCTACTTAAATTTTGATCGTATCTTTCTCAATACAACTCGGATTTGAGCCCACTACGTATCTACGGACTTATCTCGACATGCTTTGCGTAACGGAACAATTGAAGCTTCCAAATTCCACCCTGATCAAAAAGTCAACTTTTAACCCTATAAAATATTCCATGGGCAAAATAGTCTTTTACCAGAATAAATTAATAATTAAAAATCTAATTAGGACTGGGTTATTACACACACACACACACTCTCTCTCTCTCTCTCTCTCTCTCTCGACAGCCCCATCCTCCATATCCATCCTGACACCATCTTGCCTAGCACAACAATTGAAATCTAGCCGCCACACCCCATTCTCAGCCTTCAAAATCATAATCTCCCCAACTTGATGCTTGTGACGGTGGCGTTTGACAGTGGTAGAGGAGATTGGGGCTAATCTGGGGTTGACCCAGATGGTAATTAATTGAAGAAAGACTGGTCAGTTGGAAAGGGGGGGGGGCGGGGGGGGGGGGGGGGGGGGGGGAGTGGAATCGGCAGCAACTCGATCTCAATTTCATGGTTAAGAAGAGGGTTGAGTGATGGTGGTGATGGTGATGATGATGAGGTTTAGGGTTTGTGGTCTATTTTAATGCGCGAGTGTTGTTTTTTGCTTTTGCTTTTGCTTTTGTTTCAGAAAGCCCATTCATCATCTTCTTCTTCTTTTGCTGTTGGGTTTGAGAATTTGTTTTTGTGTTGTTTTGTTTAGATTGGAAAGACAGAAATTGGAAGAGGAGAGAAGAGAAAAGGTGGTTGGGCTTGGAGTTAGTCGTGTAGAGAGAGAGAATGATGGGTGTGATGAGAAGTTTTTGTTGAAAGAGGTGGCTAAGCAAGATGGTGTGTGGGTGGCATGAAGGATTGGGCTGCCAATAGAAAGAGAGAGAAAAAAATGGGACATGATGGGGGAAGGAGGAAGGGTTGCCTGACGAAGTGAGAGAGGAGAGAGAGAAAGGGAATATAGGTTTATTTTATTTTATTTTGTATCAGTCAAAATTTTTAGTTTTTAAATATTATTTCTTAATATTTAATTACACTTAACTAAAAGAGTGAACCCCATATTTGCCATCTCATCACTTAACAGAAGACTAAACGGTCAAATTGACGGAATATGTAAATTGGTCGAATTTTAAAACGTTAGGGTGTAAATTGACAAAATTGAAACCCCGTAGCCCGTTTCAAGAATGACCCCAAATCTTCATAAGATAAAATGATGTTAGCCATTTTTTAAACTTCTGTTACTTGTGGAGGGACAATTCAGTCCCCAAAATATTTAAAAAATTATTCCTTTAAAAAATAAATATTAAAAACCAATAAAAAAGAAGTAAAATCTTATAATTTAATAATTTAAAAATAAAAATCCCAGCACTTGGGTCTTACCCGACTCCTTCTCAACTCCACCCATTTGCCATTTGCCATGGCAAAAAAAGGGGGGGGGGGGGGGTTAGGGCAGCTACTATTCACGTGAATAGTGGCTGCCCTTACAAAAAGCAATGTGTGTTTTCACCTGTTGCCATGACAAAGGGCAAATACTATCCATTTTTTTGTTTTTTTCACAAATTTTTGTACATAAGATTTTTCGGTTCTTACGTGTCAATATTTATTATAAACTTTATATCTCATAATCGGATAAACTTTTCGGTTTCAAATTTAAGATAAATTTCAAATTTCAAATAATATTTTCACCCTCTAAAATCGCGCCACGTGTCATCTCTATCTGCCTAAATTTTTCTATAAAACAAGAGGCTCAGCTCATACCTCTCACACTAGATCTTCTCTATATTTTCATTTCTCAGATTTTAGAATTCATACTCCATTCTCACTGTTAGACATGAGTAGGGTCTTGGAGAGGCAAGAGCGAGAAACTAGAGAAAGAAGGCGTAGAAGAGCTGAAGGCAAAAGGGTGTAGAGAGAACTAGATCAACAAATTGTCATAGCAGTGGCTTTGTTTGATGAAGAAAACCAAGGTTGCTGCCGTGGTTCACAAGTCGGCCGTGGCTCGAATGTGGACAAACATAAGCATTCTCAGGGTAAGAATCTTCTGGAAGATTATTTTATTGCAACTTCTCTGTACTCTAATGTTGATTTGAGAAGGTGATATAGAATGCAACCCTATTTGTTTAATAAAGTCATGCATGATATTTGCAATTATGATGAATACTTTGTTCAAAAGTGTGATGTTGTTGGGATTTTGGGACTTCTTCCTGAGCAAAAGCTTACAGTTGCTATAAGAATGCTAGCGTATGGTTCATCTGCTGATCAGGTGGATGAGATTGTCAGGATGGGGAAGTCCACTACTTTGGAGAGCTTGGTAAGATTTTGTGATGCAGTCAAAACTCTGTACACTAGGGACTACTTGCGCAGACCTACGCCCAGAGACCTCTAACGGCTTCTTGAGGATTTCCAGGAATGATTGGTAGCATCGACTGCATGCACTGACAATGGAAGAATTACCCAACTACCTGGCAAGGAGATTATGGAAATAGGAAAAGGCAAAAAAGTATCATCCTTGAAGCCGTTGCAGGATTCGATACATGGGTTTGGTATGCCTTCTTCTGAGTTGCCGGATCTCAAAACTACTTGAAAGTACTGGGTCAATCCCCGGTGTTCAACGATGTTCTGAGAGGTGAAGCCCCGAATATCACCTATGAAATCAACAATATCGTATACCAGAATAGGTATTATCTAGTAGATGACATCTACCCAAGGTGGACCACATTTGTGAAATCTATTCCGCATCCCCGATTTGAGAAGCAAAAATTGTTTGTTGTCTATTAAGAGGGTTATAGAAAAGATGTGGAGAGGTGTTTTGGTATCCTCCAAGCCCAGTGGCTTATTATTAGGGGTGCGGTGCGCATATTTGATGAGGAGGTGATGAGGAGCATAATGATGACTTGCATCATCCTTCATAACATGATTGTGGAGGATGAGTTATGAATGTGGAGGATGAGTATGATTACGATACTGCAGAGGTGTACGAACCAGATCCCATGAACACGGCCTTGACAAGAATTTATGAAAGGGCCATGGGGCCAAGTGGAGAACCATTGGAGCATGAACCGTTGGTTAGGGACAAATGTTTCATGACCTGTATGATTGATCGATATATAGAGATGCAATCATCTTATATTCAAGAAACGACGTCAAGTTTACTTGATAGAGCATTTGTGGGTGGTGAAAGGCAATGATGGTGAATGAAGTGACATGAAAATGTTTTTTTTTATACTATTTGCTTTGGTTGTGTTTTATTTTTAGTTATGCTTTGGTTGTGGTTTTATTTTTTTTAATGCTTTGGTTGTGGTTTGTTTTTTAGTTATGCTTTGGTTGTGATTTTTTATGTATGGAATGTTTTGAATAAAAGGTCTTTTTTTGAATGTTTTCTTTATTCACTCAAAGAAAACCATTACAAGTAATTAAGAATTACTACTAATTAAATAAAATACATGAATTACAACTAATTTTTAAAACAAAACATTAAAATACAATGAAATGAAAGACAATGAACAAAAAAAAAAAAAAAAACTAACTTAAGTCAATATATACTTCATACTAAAATCCCATAAAATCAAGTTTTCTTATTTGATGAGTAAGGAATAAAAGCCGCTAAAAATTATCTTGAAAAAATGATTATTCTGAAAAATAATTTTTCATACTTAGCCAATATTTTTACATAAAACAATTTTTCATGAATGATATGAATGCATGAAGGGACCTAAGGTCAATCTAGGTAAAAAGCCTTAGATGTTCAATCCACAGAGAGTTTTACAAGAATAACCTAACTTCTACGTATTGAAGAAATATTTGCTTGAATAAGCTCCCCTTAAGACAGTACTCATAAGGGTCCAACACAATCTAGGCCACGATCACCATGTCTTTCTTGGCGGGTGCCGGTATGGCCGCGAAGGTTTCTCAGCAGTTTCAGCCTTCCTGCTGTTAAATCCTTCTTGTATAACGTCCCTGAACACAACACAACTATTGGTGGAGTGGTTCCAAGAGTTGTGCCATCTGCAATACTGTCTGCCCTTGAGTTCCTCTGGCTTGGGCAACCTGTGAGGTGTCTCTATTGCCTTTTCCAGTAGCATCTCATCAAACAGAGCATCAACCTTGGTTAAGTCGAAGGAATAAACTTTGTTTTGTGCTGGTTTGTTTGGAACAAACCCTCCTGTGAATGGTGGTGGCTTGTAGTCCTTTGGTGGCTTTGTCAGAGCCTTGCAACTGATGATATGTTTTAATTTGGCCATTTCCGCCACTGCAACTTCCTTTTCTTCTGAGCTTTCTGTGTCTTCTTTTGACTCCACCTTAACCAGATGTACTGAAGAACATAGGGTCTTGTAGTATGTGCCTTTGGAGGACTTCCTCTTATGTTGTTCTTCCCTGAGCAGCTCCTTGTATTTAGATGCTTTGTCTGCTAGTTATGCCAGGTCTCCAAACAGCATCCCAACAAATCTCTTCCTTAGAGAGATTTTAAGGGCGTGTTGAGCCATTTGGATGAAGTGCCTTTCTTCTATAGGGATTCGGCATTTCATTTTGAGCTTTCTGAACCTGGTTATGAAGTCTTGGGTAGGCTCATCTTCACTCTGTTTGAGGGCAGCAAGATCATTGATGGTGACTTCTGGCTGAATCTTGAAATAGTAATCACGGAAGACATTTTCCATATGTTCCCAAGTTTGAACAGAATTGGCTAATAAGCTAGTATACCAGGTGAAGACTTGTCCAGAGAAAGAGTTTCCAAAAAGCCTTAGTTTTAACAGAGGGTTATTTTCTATGGCTATGCACTGGACAGAGAATCTGCCTATATGCTCAACTGATGAAGTATGGGTGTCCTCTTCGTTGAACAATGTGAAGTTTGGTACCTTAAAGCCCTGTGATAAGCTGGATATGGCTTTCAATAAGTGGTCCTTTCTCCTCTTCTGGCCTCAGGTTCCATCATCTCTCTTATCATCCTCTGTAGTGCTCTTATTCATTTAGGCATTGACAGGATGCGGATTTCGCCCCTGTTCTGGTTAGTTGTGTTCAATCCTATGTTTCGCTCTGTATGGTCTAGGTGGAACTTCCTCCCTATGTTCTTCCTCCTCTTTGAAATATGGATGATTCCTCCAGTTTGCCCCCGGTCTATTCCTATCATTGTTGTCCAAAGGGTTGATTCCCCTTCTACCTCTCTTGCATCTAGCTAGTGGAGGGAATGGATTGAGGTCCATCCTTCTAGGTCTGTAGGACAACACAGTTGGTTGCTCAGGCAAAAGTGCCAAGGGCTGATCGTATGGGACCAGTTGGTCGCGGAATAGGTGGAGGTTATGGTTGGTTCTTGAGGGCATGAACTGGTATAGGGCCTTCTGGACGAACTGGAGCCTTATGTGCTTGGATGGGAAGGGCTCATCCCTTTGTCCAACATGGATTTCTCCATGTTCTGGCATTCCAGCTAACTGTGCAATGAGAGGATTCTCTTGGTATGACCATGCCAGCCCTGGAGGAGGTCCAAAAGGGAGATCTAGTTGCTTGACCACAACATTTGGGTTTGGAATTCTGGCAGTAGCAGCCTCACGTTCCTTCCTAAACTGCCTGTTGACTTGCCACTACATCATGGCTGTCAAGTTGTTTAAGGTATCCTGGCTCTTCTGTGTTGTGGCCTCTTGCCGAAGCATAGCCTCCTGTATTTGGTTTAACCTTCTGGAACCAGACCTGGAATGCTTTCCTCTGACTCAAGTCATTCCTAGAGAGCCTCCTGTATTTGATATTCATATACTAGAAGATTTTTCAAGGAGAATGTGTACTGAGAAGTCCCATTGGGCGAGCCAAATTGTTCACCCGTTTTGATTTTAATCCTGTGATGGCAGGGTACAGTTCCCCATTGGCTTGACAACCACTGGTGGTCAATAAGTCAACTTTCTTTTATGTATGAGCGTGCCACTGCTAGCAATAAAAAACCCTAGCAAACTTCTTAAAAATAGATAACTTGAGCCCCAAGTTATTGATTTCTAAACAAGCAATTGTGAATTTGGGTGAGGAATATCTCCCAAGTAAGTTCTTTTCTTTGCCTTCAGACTAGTGAGGACTTCACAATTTTTCACAGTACAAAATGGGTAGTTCTAGCCATAATAGACAAATGAAGACAAACTGTTTTAAGCAGAATTGCTTATTATAGGACTCGAAAATAAAATGACAACTCCGAAGCAAGACAACAGGATGTTGGGCGTTGATTTCTATTTGGATAACTGCCTCTGAACCGGGCTAGACTGGATGTGTCTGTGCTCAATTGGCTCGTCAACACCTTCAACTAATGAGTTTTAGCTGAAAATCAATACCAACGTTTGAGTCTGGCAAAGCTTTAATTTATTCCGGGCCATAGAAGGCTTACTAAATGGGCAGAATTGAGGCCTCTTCAGTCTGGAGAGGGCAAAAGTGGCTGGATTGATGATTACTAAGCTGGAGCTGCGCTATGGTGCATGTTCTGCTTGACCAAGGCTTTCTGTAAATTTGATGAGGTTTTCATATTTGTAAAATCCCGGACTCTGCTTGACTTAGCTTTGTGCTGAACCAAATTTGTAACGAGAAAAGTCTCGCTTTGTAAAATTGTTTCCCTGAATTGAACTGGAATCAAAACTTGAATTCTAGCTGACTTGTTTCCTGTGGCTCAATGAGCTTTGGCTGCTTCAGTGTTTGAAAGGTTTTAAGATCAATGGATCTACTTGATTTTTTGGATGTCCTTCGATCTATTCACCTCCTCTCATATTTATAGAAAAATGCTGGAGTGGGGCTTCTAATCTTTTAATAATGAGCGGCAGATTTTCCAAAAGGAAGATCTTTTATTTTATAAGCCAAGAAAAGGGGAATTTATCGATTCTGGCAAAAAAAAAAAAAAAATGAACAGTCAGTTCTTATGGTGATTACTTCCCTGCCTTTCTTGAAAGAAAACCTAATCCTTTTTTACTATTTTAACTGCCTTTTGTAAGAATGCTATCTACCATGATGGTTAGTTTGCTTTTCCCTGATGAACAACTCATTGCTCCCTACTTATCTCTTTAGAAAATGTAGTATGCTTATCCCTTGAAAATGACACTTGCAGAATTTCTCTGAATATAGAAAAGGATTTTGATCTTTTGGCTGAAAAAGATTTAGAGAAGTCTTCCTTTTATACCTACCTTCATGAACTCTTTATCAACTCCTTTGTGATAGTTGAGATTTTTTACTTTTTCGAAGTTTTGGATATCACGTGGGGCTTCCTAAAAAAGATCTGTTGTTGTTTATTTTTAGGGGTAGAGACCAAGTGATGAGATCTTTCTCAGAAGCTGGGCTTTTTATCCAAAACTGTGTGTATTTCTTTAGTTATGAATAACAGGATTTTACGCTTTTCAAATCATGGTTGTACTTGTAAAAGGGGTCTGCACTTTTCTAGTGTCTTGGGTTTTTCCTTCTTCTCATCCCTGTAGATAAAAGCCCAAATGTTTTGGTTCGTCGGTTTTTATAAATTCTGGGCTAGACTCGCAGAATTTGAGAAATTAGTCTGAGCCCTCTCTATTTTGGGCTACTCTTCAGTTTCTTTTAAATATCAAGCCTAAGTGGTACTCATGTTTTGTGGCTGCATAAATGGACTAGGTTTGCAGAATTGAGGCCTAAACAATGCCCCCTTCAGTCTGAATCGTTTTAAAAACGGTTCCAGACTTAATGATTGGCCAATCAATGATGCACGCAATTTCCTGTCGTTGCACTAGCGCACGTCTGCCTATTCAATTAGGCTTCGTGAGGAAATTGGTTCTAATGGCTAATTAAATCTGAGCGAAAACTCCTTTCTTCCTACTCTTCCCACAATCTTCTTCTTTAGTTTATAAAAAGTTTTGAACTCTATTACTGTTCATTTGCAACCTACTTTTGCCTCAGTTTTCATTTCTTCTTGAAACCTTCTGTCCTTTGGCTCGTTCTTCAATTCGTCCCTGTTTTCTTGCTGGAATTCGAAGATGTCATCCCCAAAAACATGTGCCAAGGGGTTCTTCTTCCTCTCCGTATCCTGCTTAACTTACTGGAGATGGTTCGCAGTAAGCTTCCCCCTTTTACCTAGAAGAATTTGGATGAAAATGTTCTCCACCTTTTTGAGAACACACTCGTTTTGGGTCCTCACTGGTTTGGCGCGGTGCCAAAGGAAATGGTCAATCTGTTCAAGGAGGACGTTGAGGCTCTCCTTTTCCTCCAAAGCTCTTCTGCCCTGACTTCTCATTCCTCGATTAGTAAGAACTTGAGTCTCTCCTATCACTCTAGTGAAGTGAGGAATAGTGCAGTGAAGTGGTCGGACTGAATTGATAGACTCCTCCCGAGGTATGGAGATCACTGGAAAAGGCCTGGTCTCTACGACTCCATCCTTCTGTCCAAGCAATCTGTGAATAGGGATGAGAACTTACTGGGTGCAGCTCTCTTCTTTTGGAATTCTACCAGTAATACGTTTGATTTTCGTGTGGGCCCTATGACTCCAACCCTGCTGGATATGGCTCAGATCTTTAGGTTCAGACCTCATGAAAGGGCTGTGGATGCAGTTGGTGATACCACAAGAGAAAAATTGGCAAAGCCCTTCACTATCTCTCCAGCCACGATCACCCAAAATTGCTCCTTCTCTAATTTCTTGAAGAAATTCAGCACAAAGAAGGACAAGGATCAACATCATATGGTTTTTCTTTTGTACTGGCTGAATAGGTTTGTTTTCCCTAATCGTTCCTCAGTAGTTCTACTCGAATACAAACGCTTGGCAGAAGCACTGCACAACCACACTAACATGGGGCTTGGTCCAACAATCCTGGCCCATTTGTACAAGAATCTTCACAGCGCTATCTTGGAGAATTCATTGAACATTTCTGCTCCTGGCACATTCTGGATGATCCAGATATGGCTGTAGGTCTATTTCCTAGAATTGAGGTTCCTAGACATCGTTGTGCCTGAAGACCAGGTCATGGCGCTCCCCTTGATGTCTACAGAATTGCCCAAGCGCTCTATTAAAGAGTACATGATGTTTTTTAGGCATTGTACTAAGAGGTTTGTTGCTCAGTGACAGGTGGTACTGAGAAGAACGTATTGTTTGAGAAGGAACCTGACGATGAAGAGGCCAGAACTGAATTTAGGAAGAAGTTCCTGAGTGTAATGCTGCTCATGGACCTGCCTTTTGGAGGTGGTAAGCCCCCTAACTATCAACTAGGCAGAGAGGTCTATCACCCCAACTTCTGTGCCAGGCAGCTTGGCTGTCCCCCAGCTTATTCCGTTGAAGTCCTATATAAGCTGCAATCGAGGTACCTCTTGGAGAGATGCAGATGATCTGGACCTGCACAAGAATTGCAGGTGTGCAGTAAGTAAGATAAACAACAATGCAGATGCTCTCTACTCATCCTGGGAGCCCAATTCCTGCAGTTCTGCCGAGTTTGATGCTTGGTGGAAGGCTAGGTTCACTAGTCTACCAGATTCTAGTTCTGCCATGAAGGTGCTCTTTGATGGTTGGGATTCCTGGGCTGTCCATGCAGGGGTAGAGGCCAAGAAATTTATGGTGCAGATGATCAAAGACATCAACGCCCAAGTAATTGAAGGTAAACTTTCAATTTTGCCCATGTTTCTCCATTTTGTCAATGATTATTGTATTCTGTTCTGTCTGTTTGTATCAGATCCTTCTATGACAAGGAACCTT